TAAAAAAAAAAATATCAAACAATATCAAACAAAAATGTTATGAAGAAAAACCATGGGAGGATAATATATATTTATAGGTAATCACCACATTAAAATATTGACAGTCACAATTCTAAGATTTGTTTATATCTTTAACGATATTAGACACTTATTTAGTCTTCAAATAAAACTTTTAGTATATTATGTGTCAGTTTGTACAATCAATCCTAAATATTATGGAATAATTACATCGGGCCAAGCATATGGCAATTATATATATTCATTACAAATAACCTTAAATATTAAATTTTTGTTAAAAAAATCAAAATATTCTAGTATTTACCTAAAGATTTCGTATAGCTGCTATAGTCAAGTAACTATAACGATATTACATTTTTTTAAAGCATCATAAATATAACCTTTATTATTTAATTTATTATTAGAGTATGTTATTAGTAGGGCTCGGATTTATAATATGTATTTATATAACCAAAGTATGTATTTACACAACAAAAATATGTGCTAAAGAATTCAAAATATGTATTATCAAAAAAAAAAAAATGATAAAATGCTATGGATTTTTCACAAGCAGTACAATACAAAATGTGACCGTCACTTTGTAAATATTCATTTGGATATTCAGAAACATATTTTATTGCTTTGCAAGTTTTAGACGATCGCACTATTTGCATTATTGGTAATATACACGTAAAATATAACGAATAACGAGTCAACGAAACACACACTACGATGTCACATTAAAAAGTACACACGTATCTCAGTGTTCGCTCGTTCGTGTTTAACCTATTTAAAAATGAGTTAATCGTAATATTAATATTTCAATTGATAAAATCGTATCTAGAAATAATTGAAAATATAACAGGTTGAGTGTAATGGTCGTTTGTAATCGAGGATCATCGACGTCAAAAATACGTCCGGTGGATCCCGCCGACCACACGATATCATACTAGTCGTGAACTATTAAGTATTGGCTAATGGCTTAGGTACTCATGATAACCTTTCAATCTTTCTTAACTCTGAAAAAAGAGGTTAAAACAGTAAAATTGTCTAAATATGTGAGAAAAATACTTATCTGATCGTTGAAGAAATTGATTCGTTTACCTATTTAAAATCTGATACGAAATAAATATGAAGATGTGAAATGTAATTGCATAATATACAATATTATCTCAAAGGAACCCTTTTTTGATTAGGCATTTATATTGGTCAGTATTACATTACACTTTTTGCTAAACTGCTATTAAGATAATATAATAATATAATGTCTAAATTATAAACATCTGTGTATAAGTATTACAGTTGAACGTTTATATTTTATCCCTCAACATTAAGAGGATGTCAGCCCGGTCAGCGCACTATTTGTTTTTCTCTCTCTGGCCCACTCGCAACATAGACAAAATGCATTTACGCAGAATCATTTTTCCCATGTTTTTATTTAATCTTAGAGTAAAATCACCTAGGTATAATAATTACAAAAAGGTTATAGAATAATATTTTTGAGGGAATGATATATCGAATTGCCTAAATATTTTTTTGTTTGTTTTGAAAGCCAAATACACAGTCAAATAACAATAAAACATAAAATCGATATGTCATTCCCTCAAAAAAATTACTCTCTATCTTTTTTGTAGTGGGTTATTTTTCTCTAAGATTAGTTAAAAATAGGGATCAAAATTTCCAAAAAAAAAAAGTTTCGAAAAAAACACTGGTTTTTCCCTTTGTTTTTCGAAAAAAATTGGGAAAATTTAGTTTCATTTAAAATGTCTGGAAATAATGGTTTTTTATTCTAAAGAACTGAAAAGTAATCTATATTGGAAACAACCTAATAAATAATGATATTTGATTCAGGGGCGGACTGGGACGGGTCCGGCCCACTGTTCCAAGTTTATTAGCGGCCTTGGGTGTATTAGGCCAATTTTTTTTACTCTAATTGTGCTGATGATCTATGAACTTATACACGACGTATAACAGAAACACCTGACAAATTAATTAGGTAGGTAACTTAATTTGTTCTAATCATTTAAATAATTATTTTAAATAATTTATATAGATTGTTGTAAGTACACTAAGTACAGTATAATATTTATACCACCAATATTAAAAAGGGGAGCAAGTGTATGTCACTCTGCTGTACAGTAGGTTACAAGTAGGTCACTGTAATGGATGGTATTAAATTTGATTTTAATGATATAATATCATTGTATATGGAGAAAACGGTTAATATAAAGTATTTGATGATACTATTGTGAATAAAGAACTTAGGTACCTAACCTAATTAATTTCATTACTAGGAATTATAGTATTTACTATAGTAGGTATTAAATTCATTGTTCCAGAAAAAATTACATTTGAAAATATCATTGCGTGTATATAAAAAATAACAATATACTCTAAAAGTTTCTATACCAACAAATAATATTTTTAAATTTCAATTCTTGGTTTTAATATGTCATTTAGTCCAAATTTGAATTTAAAGTGTCAGTAAAAAATAATTGTTTCTTATAACTATATTCTTCAACTATATTTTATAGATTTTTTGGTTACAGTATGAACTATTTATGATAATCTTCATTTTACATTTTCAATCCATAGTTATGAAAAATTAAAAACTGTACATTTTCTAATTTTATAATTATGCAATGATTAATAATTTTCGAGATTTTGATAAATTTTGATAAATTCGAACTTTAAATGATTATAAAAAAAAATTGTGCCTATGTGTGTATTTTTAATATTTTTAAACTGCTATTGTAACAATATATCAGGAGCCTTGTATTAAATTTTCACACTGATTAGCCCACCAAAATAAAATTTGATTGATATTTATAAAAAAAAACTAAGCAAATTGAAATTTTAAATTGCTGGTAAACAGCTCAAAATGAGTCAAAATATTATTAAAATTGTTAAGGTGTATAGAAAATAAGAATACAAATATTCAGTGAAGTTTTCATGAATTTACAGTTATTCATTTTTCAATTACAACAAAATAAAGAAATCGATAGGTACATGAGAAATCGAGTTAATATCCAATGTTGAAAATATTTGAACTTCAATCGCTCATACAAATTTTATTTGACTTTCTGGTTAGGTTCGAAATTTTTTTTCGATAAAAGTAGACAAAATTATGTTGAATCTTGTATAACATTTTCAAATCTGAGTTTAAAAAATAAAAATTTTTATAAAATTTACTAAAATAATTTGTGAATTTTCGTCATTTTTACGTATTTTTTCAATATTTGAACTTTAAATGCTTAAAAAAAAAAAAATTGTGACGACGATTTTTTAATATTTTTCATCTTCCTTTGAAAAAATATATCAGGAGCCTTTTATTAAATTTTCAATAGTTTTTACCCAACAAATAAAATTTTATTGATATTTATAGAAAAAAAATACTAAAAAAAATCGAAACTGAAAATGTCCGTAAACAGCACAAAATAAAACTTGAAAATGTTATGGTGTATAGAAAATTCTGATATAAACATTCTGTAAAAATTTGATGTACCTATTTACGGTAATTTGTTTTAGAATTATACCAAAACCTAAAGTCGATTTATCAAAAACCTTTTTAGCGTAAAAATTCCCGTTTTTTCATAATTTTACTTTTGTTTTTCTTGCGCTTCTGAAAACTATTGGGAATTTTAATTTTTGACCTCTCGAATGCACTAACTAAATTCACTTTCCCATCGAACAAGATACTGTTGAAGAAAATAGAAGCAGTTCTACTAAAATTAAAAACAACCACGTTGGCTAACGAACAGTACCTACTCATTACTCATAATATTGTATTCACTATAATTTTGTTATTTTCTGGCAGTTCTACCATGCGGTATACGAATTTCAATCACCTTACAAAATAAATATAATATATAAACTGAAATTTGGCTTGGTGCTAATTTTTCCGAGGTAAAGCCTAATTATTCGTCTAATTTGACTGGAATAAAATAGTCAAATTGGCCATAGTCTTTTAATTCGATCTGAATTTATTTATACCTACTTTATAAATGCTTTGCTATACACGCCACACGGCATAAAATCCCTGACAGGACAATAACGTTTTACGTTTCAGAAAAAAAATATTTTTAATTGTCCATATTATAAAATTATAATTTATATCTAAATATTATTATGTTTTTGGTATCTTTTATATGGTAGTGTACTCTTGTCTATATTGTGTTGTTTGTGATGGGCAAGAGCCGCCCAATCGTAAAATATATTATTATAAAATAATAAAAAAAATTACAAATACAAATACAACAATTATAGATATATTTGCTAGCCATAGTAGCGGCCCAACACTTACAATCTGGTATACCGGCCCACTGTGCTTTAGAATAGTGGCACACCGGGCCAGTCCACTACTGTTGATAATCATACTACATACATGTTATATATAGCATATTTATAATACCGACGGGTCAACACCAGAGACCAGAGAGGGCCAACATCGTCCTCCAACCACCTACAACAAAACGAAGGCTTGATGCGAAGGCAACCGGAAAGCGAGAACCCAACGGCGGCGACACCACTCAGCGTATCAGAACCCTAACATTAAAATTTGTCTAAAAATTCCTTTTTTTAATATATCCCTTGACCAATTTATCATTTGTTTCAAATTTCACAAAAATATTTCAGCTGTATCATTTAAATATATTAATGAACATTTTATGTGCTGACAAATTTTATCAACATTTAAAAATGTATTTTATACAATAAAAAATGTAATTTATTAAATATTAAATATGATTGACTCATTATTAATTTTAAAAATATTTATTAAAACCATGATAGGTACATATAAGTAAAATGAAAAAAGGTTAGATTAAAGGCTGATTATTGATTATTTTTTTTAATCTAGAAATTATACAATCTATACTAAAAAAAATACAATAAGCATAATGTATGTTTATTAAATTAAATTAAGTGCAATAGCTCGAGTGTCTTGAGGGAAGAAACCATCGAGTGAAGGTACTTCGGCTGATTATTGATTATTAAATTTAAGGTTATTTTTTAAATGTATCTACCATTTCTGACCAGTGATTGATGTTGATTTTTGGAATTAATTGGGAATTACAGAGTTGCAAATCAGCCATCGCAGGTATCAAAAATACTTTTTTCTGCATCATTGTGACATTATTGCTGTTATCACAAAAGATTCTGGCAAGCGTCACTTTTCTGATTTCTGTCAGTTGATCTTAAATATTGAAAAAATATAGTTAAAATCAGGGTCATTTATAAAAAAATATCTCAGATATACTAACATTCATTGAATATATTTGGTAAATCGTAAAAATATCTATCTGCCATTCTAGTTCTTATAAACTGTTCTCTAATAATACATCTCATCGTAGGCCCAACCATTGAGTCGTCTTCGTGTTTCTCAAACAATGCACCTACCAATAGCTCTATATCTGTCCAATCTCTGTATTGCTTCAATAGTCTATCAGTTGACTAAATATTATAATATACATGAATAAAATAATCACCGTATTATTATTTAATATTTAATATACTTTCAAACTTACACCTTCAACCATGATCTTAGATAAATCTTGTACACTTCTTATAGCTTTTAGTCCACAATATTTTCTGAATTCTGAGTAGCTTGGTATACCATGATCGCGGGTTCGTTGTATATCCAAGCTGACAATGTCCATTCCAAACCCGTGGCTGGGATGAGCACTATATAAGTAATTTGTAAGCTGAAAAAAAAATTCGAACCACTAATGTTAAAATATAGTTGAACGTATAATTTAGTCTGTTAAATGGATGATGTCATCATCAATAATTATGATTTGTTATATTTCCATTGCATAATATTTATTGTATATTTCAAAAACCTACAGTTTGAGTAAATAGCATATCGATTTTTTGTGTATTCTGCGTAGATAGCCCTCTAACAAGATGATCCATGTAATTTGATAGTAAACCAATTGGTCGGTTGTAATGTTCCTTTAGTGAAAGATTTGCGTTGATCACTCGGTGTTCCGTATATAAACTAAACAAAAACGTAGGTTCATAAAAATTATTAATTATAAGTATGATTCTCTTTAGACACAAAAGCACAGCAATCGACATCTTAATATATTGTTGTGTAGATTATCAATTTTGATTATAAATAGTGCATGTTATATAGAATCATGAGTCATTCTAATTGTGTTGGAACTTATGTATATAAGACCCTGACATTTCCCAAGCAGAAGCCACTCTATACCAGTGTCACGACAAAGCATCGCACAATGTGGGACTTGATTGAACAAACATGGTTTTTTTTTTTATATATCAGTATCTTTTCTTGTGGGGAAATTAAAAATGTCTTTACTTTTGTAAAAATTGAAAATTTACAGAATTTTTGGGAATCGAAAAAAAAACTAAGTAAATAATAGCTAACTATAGCTATTTTTTTTTTTATTGGAATATTAATGGAGCGTCTCAAACTCATTCGTTTTAATCAGTCAAAGTTACGATCAGACGAGTAAGTCCACTTGCTTAACGCCATCGCTACTGTTTGACCAAATATATTTTATATATATAAAAATAAATGTTCGTGTGTAAATTAGACCTCTGGGTAGAAGATAGTCTAATTTAAAAAGGGTTAAATTTCTTTGTTTTTTATTCATCAGATTTTAGTACGGTTGGGTTAGGATTTTATATTAATTGATTACACCTATTAATCCACCGTAGGTGGAATTAAGTAAAAACGATAAACTTAGTATAACTTTGGTCATTGATACTCTAGAGTTAAATCATACACTTACGTACAAACAGCACGGGGTTCGCAATGCCTACCTGATAATATACTGCTGCGAATCAGAATTTATATTCCGGGCAACGGAAAAGTTAAGATAAAGTTTGAACACCATACACCAAATATTAAATAACGAATTGAACAAAGCTTGAGTCATAAATAGTTGGTACATTTAACGGGAAATGAAGTGCACTGGTTCATAATATCATAAAATATACTTATTAATATATAGACTGACAGACTGTCATTGTTCAGAATAGATTTTCGTATACGAATCTCATTGAAGTTTAACAAATCAATTATCAAAGTGACCCCTTCTAAACGGTAAATGGAAAATTACTACGGTCTATTGTGTTTCGAATAAATGAAATAAAATAGGCGAAATATTGTTACTAAAAATATTTTATTTTCTGTGGTTCAAAAAAATTTTCCAAAATAAAATTAAGTTTATGTTCACAATAATAACAAAATAACAATATTGCTACATGAGAAATCGAGTGAATATAAAATCTTGTAAAAATATGAAATTCAAACGCTCATAAAAATTTAATTTGATTTTCTTGTAGTCATTTTTTTTTTTTTTTTTATTAAGGTAGACAGTAGACCTTATGAAGTATCTTGTATTATATTTTAAAATCTTAGATTTAAAAAGAAAAATTTTTATGAATTTCTAACTCAAAATAATTTTCGTGAATTTTACGTATTTTGTGATAATTTGAACTTTAAATGCTTATAAAAAAAATTAAGACTGGATTTTTAATATTTTTCATCTTATTTGAAACAACATATTATTAGCGTTATGTTATATTATCTAGCTTTTTTACCCAACAGATAAAATTTTATTAACATTTATCGAATAAAAAACTAAAAAAATTGGAAAATGAAACGCTGACACACATAAACAAAAAAATAAATAAAAAACACATAACTACAATAGAATACTATTGCTATTATTATAAAATTAATAATATACCTAATTGACAACAGCAACTGAAATTTTTAAATTCATTTTTAGATACATTTTTTTGCTAAACTTTAATCTTATGACCAACTATATTCAAAATTTAAAATAATAATTTTATATTTTAATTATATTTTTTTTATATATTTATTAATTTTTATTTAACTTTTTTCCATGGATTTTTTTTCGGTGTCTTTTTTCCTACATTCTATAAATGGTTTCCAAAATTAAACTAAATATAAATTCAAAATAGTATAAATATAAAATCATAATAGTTGCAATAGTCTCCCAATGGTATTTAAAAAATATCCATTGTAATTTCTTTATTTTAGTAACTATTAATTGTTAGATGAATTATGTATTGATTATAGGTGTTAAACATCGGCGTAGCCAAACATTTTTTTATGGGTATGCAAAAAGTATGTGTACCACACTAAGCAGTGGGGGGCTTTGCTTAATATACAATATCGTTAGTTATTATTAAAGACTCACTAACTCAAAATGAATCTTAGTTTAGACATTTCAGGGGAAAATAGATAACCTTCACTGGCTTCACTGAATGTTCATTTAATCATTTGCCATGTATAATACAATTTTCGAAATGTCTTGACCCTTTTTGAACTATTAATAGGAATACGATTTTAAATAGATATACAAATGTTCTCATTATCTTAACATAATGTAACCATATACGGTATCTAAATAATATTTTCCACTGCTGGATCAGAATCTAATAATATAAACAAACAATCCTTCCTAACATACTGTTTTTTTTTTTTTAACTTTAAGAGTTACCTAAATAACAAAATATATTCGCTCAAAAAGTTTTAATATAAATACATACATTGAAATTTGAATAATATAATATTGCTTCAGATTTTGAAATTAAAATATTATGTAGTTACCATTTAAAAATTAAAAGCCGATTATGGGTTCGCCGGGGTGAATAATCACTTTAAGGTTTTTTTCACTTACACATTCATCTAAACAATTGCTAAGAAAAATGTTTAAATGACTAGGATTATTCACAGTACTTAATTATCTAATTACCTCCCTAAATAACCTACATATACACGATAATAATAATAATAATATTATTATACCAGGTGTGCACGAACCTGATAGTGTCGCTTAGCATGGAATTAGCGAAAGGTAATATTGCGGTCGCAAAGCTGTTGCTGACGCTCGGGTCGGTGGTCTCGTTGTAAGCGTTACTGTAGCCTTTTGTCGGCAGTTCAAGCCCGTTCCACCTAGTGTAGTTTTCCCCAAGCAGCGCTGGCAGCCACTCATTGTAAGTTATGTGCTGTATGGATGCCGTAACGATTTTCCTGGCCTCCTGAAAAATACGTTCATCGTCCCAGTGCGGGTTTACGTGGGACAGTAGTTTGGCCAACCGGTTGTGTTCCCTCATCCACAACGTGTGCATGACCGTAAGTTGTGGAAGCCCATTTGCCCGGATGTCACCAGCCCTATAACACGTGCCGCTGCCATACTGACAGGCGTTTGATTCGGTGTCTTCCAGTGGCATATATTGCGGTTGTAGCGGATCTCCATGGCCCTTGTTATCACAGCCCATGCTTGTCAATAGTTGGCCGTCCAAGTTGGTCCTCAACAACCATGTCCGTTTCGCCGACGAACCGTAAATCATCGACCCATCTAAATAATGAGTAGCTTGGTTCATCTGCGAAGAATAACCATGTTAAGAAGTTCAATTTGTAATCTATGTTTATCTATGATTTTAAGGGAATTTCAAAAGTCAGTTCTCAACACTAAATGTCTAAATAGGAGTATCAAAACTGTGTACCACTAAAAATGGACACTGTATTTTTTTTAGATAGATTCTCTTTTAAAATTTGATTTATAATTGTAATGACAGTATATATAAATTTACCAATCTTTTAATTATTTACCTAATTTAAAGTATTATAACCAATATAAATATACGTTTATGGTTATGAAATTATCTTATATTGTTCTTACTTGTTCCTTAGGTCCAAAAGTACAATCGGAACGCACAGCGGGCACTGAACGCACGTAGTACATACAACGAGCATTGTTTCTGAAAAATGGATCTTCAACCGGTATCTTAAATGCCAAGCACAACTCGTGGTATATGTGTCCAGGGTAGAGCTCATTCCGGTTATCATTACAACACTTCACAGGTTTATTACTGTTCACTAAGGTAATATAATAATTTACATACATTAATTATTATGATCAACCAATATATATGATTATTTGTTAATCCTACTCATTATAGAAATTGCCGTGTGAGATAGATCATGGCCTACAAAAATCGTCCAGTACGCCATTGCCATCGTTTTAAAGTCATCTGGTGAGTGCTCGTCTTTGACAAATGCAACGCTCAGTCTTCTAGGACTGGGTCTGTAATCCGAATAAAAGTCTTCGGGAACTTCTGTATGGACAGTAAATGAAATCACATCATTAGATCCACACAATGGTAAATTGTAATGTTATAAAAATTACCACTAAACTCTCGTCTATAGTTAGGATACAGTAAACGTTTATAAGCCGTGGTTGCTTTTCCCGAGAAGGAACGTTTCAAGTTGTTACAAGAACCATCAGGACTACGATACTTCAAGTTCATCCCGATGCACGCAGATTTGTTGTAATACAATGACAAACACATCTCACCCATAGATGTCTTATCTAGTTTCACTTTCGATATGTCTATGGCACAAGATGTTTTCCAACTATCAAGATAATTTAAATGGTTGTTAAATTTATGCATATTAGGAATATTTTTTTTTAATGAGATTTATATTGTATATACTTTTGACATTCGTAAGTGTCCATACATTCGGAAGCTTCAGAAATAATTTGAGCATGAAAATATAAAGAATACAGTTCTTCGGAAAGCTGAGAATCAATCAATAGTCCATGCTCTGGGCTTCCAATATCCATACTTAAACTAAAATGAGATTCAATTAAATCTTCACGTATTTTAACATCTTTGACAACTGTTCGAATATGATCATCTAATTTTTTGGTTTTTAGATGTAGGTACCAGTCGGCTCTTTTTATTTTCAAACCATCATCTATACAGACCATTTAATCATGGTTATAATTTTGTGTGAAAAATAATCAAAACTAAAGGTAAAGTTATGATTTATACCTTCAAAGTATAGCTGATCATCTAGTCCCGGGTAACACGGTGGTAAGAATACCAACACACAAATCCACAGATGTATAGATACCGAGGAACTCATTCTGCTAATTATAAACTATAATAATTTAAAAGAAAATGTTAATTATTAACTATAACTTTTACTTTATATATTTTATATATTTTTACTATTTCAAGAGCTTTTATATAAGCGTAGTTGGGCGTATTTTGCGTATTGGGAAAACCTATATGCGCACTTGATAAACAGTTTTCAACAAAAAGAAAGACTGAAAAGCAAACTGAGAAAAAAAATTAAAAATATAAAGTCCTAATATTGTGTAATGTATTAAATTTGAATTCAATGGTATTATAATATCATCGAATACGAAAAACGTTTCTGAGCGGTGGCGGTTTGTCAGTGTGGATATTTTATATTATATTTATATTGTCATTACTTATTAATAATACGGTAGCCAGTAAGTTGAGTAAATACTATAAAATTAAAACAATATATTAACTAAAATTGTTATTCTTGGTTATTCAATATGTAATTTTCGAACATAAAATAACAAAAAAAATTGTGTTAATATATTTTTGAGATTTTTTGGTTACAGAATAATCTGACCTACTTACGAGAAACCTTGTTTTAAATGTTCGATCTTTAGCTATAAAATTTGTACCATTGATACATTTTTAACTACGACTTTTTTTTAAAATCTGCAATTTGATAAAAATGATGTAAAAATCAGGAAAATGTCCAAAGTATTAACATAAAAACCGTATGAGATGCCCTTGAGAATAATCTTACATTATAATTATACAAGCGGTCATTTCACTTGGGTATATAATTAAAACCCTACCTATTTCGTGGAATCCTATAGGACAATATAATTTTTTTAGTAAAGTAGAGCATTTAATGAGCACACTCATAGAAAGACCACATACAATATATTACACATTATAAAACTAACAGGTTGGTAATTAATTTTGTAAAAACTGCTTATCAATAAGTAATTGCAATACAAGGGGATATCATAATAATTGTTGAAATACACAAGCTAAAAGTAAATAATAATAAAATAGGATATAGTTTCTAACTATATAAATGTGAAATGAAAATCTTTGTACAGGAACTACTCTATCAGATCTTCTCGATTTTTTTTTTAAAACGAAAGAGTATATCGCGGAGAAGGTTTCTATGAAAGAAAATTTTTTCGATAATTTTAGGAATAGTAGGAAATCTTTATGTTAAAAAAAGTTTTGAATTCCATACACCGAATATTAAATAGATAACGAATTGAACAAAGTTTAGGTCATATTATAGGATTGGGAAATTTAACGGGCAACGAAGTGCACGGGATCTGCTAGTATAATATAGCAATAAGTATAATCTCGAGTATGTTACAATGTACAATAGTGTTACAATAGGTAATAATTATTATAAATTAACGACTATCGACCACACTATACAATACAATATAATATGTGGTATGGTATTATATAAAATAAAAATGTACATGTACTCTGCGTCTGATATACGCCTTAAGTATTACAATGTGCAAGGCTGGGCAATTAACGTGTTAAATAATTAAAGTAAAGTTTAAAAGTTAATTATATTTAACTTTTTAACTTAACTAGTTACTTTTGGCTTTTCATTAACTTAACTATGTTAACTTACTAAATTTATTTTTTAATTAACGTGAAATCAACGAATTAATTTTTCATTCTAAGAAGTAGGTTGTGTTAATTTATTTTGTTTTTAATTTTATTATATTTTACTATTTCGGTCTATTTCGTTTTCATGTCAAAAAATATCTATCGTAAATTGTTTAAAGTTTAACATTTAAATAACTGGAATCTAACTTATATTAAAATACCGTATGAAGTATAAGCACTCTAGTCTAGTAAAACTGAGTTAACCTATAGTTAAATTAACTTTTTGTTATTGTTGCATATAACTTAGCATAACTGAGTTAAAAACAATCGTTAACTTGCCCAGCCTTGATAATGTGAATAGATTTCTTATAAAATACATGATTTAGGATGGTACGGTTAGGTTAGTTTAGGATTATGTATTAATTTATTATATTAATCAAGGATCCACCGTATTATATCAAACTTGGTATAACTTTGATACTTTATTACAATACATATATGGTATGGTATTATAAAAAATAAAAATGTATACACTGCGTCTGATGTACGCCTGTAGTACTACAATGTAAATAGATTACTCATAAACTACATGATCAAGTTTTTTTTGATAATATTTATAACAATAATAATATATTACCTACTATTATTATGATTACATTATTAAAAACTACACATTACATTACATGATACTTCACACCATTATAGCAATTAATCTAGACTTACAATAATTTTGATCAATCGAATTTAGGATTTCGATAAAATTATATGGGTGATCGTATATTTTCTGGACACTAATCGATTGAAATATGTCAGTACCTACCTCAGGAATATTGAAATTTTAACACTTGAACAGTGAATTGAACATTTAAAAAAACATTTTTAACAATTTTATTAATCAGAGATCGCTATAGTATCAAAAAAATGTAAATATTGATATTAAAATAACCTTCTTATTTACCTATAATAAATGTTTGGTATTCACCGTAAATTGAATTATATGATTTAATGGACAGATTCTTACCTTTTGATTGATATCATGTGATTGAACTTGTATTAATTGTGTCGTTAAACACTGAAAATACTCTACTAATTGAGATTATTTAACCAATTAAGTTTAACGATGAGTTATCACGTCAATTCGTCGTCGTCGTCGATGCACTGATATCTGTGGTTTCCAGTTGTTTTCAGTTTCCACTATGATGATACATGTGATATCGGGCGAACGACGATCCTATTGGGTTCACCCCCACCCCATGCAAACAATAGGTACTTAGCCAAACCAGTATATTTCTAAACGTACAATTCCATTGGAATTTGACCATGGAGTCGTCGGTGGCGGTGACCAGTTTTTTCTCTGTATAATTTTGGTCGAGGGACGTGCGACACTGAGACGCCGAGTATTATTAAAGGAAATCAGGAATTCACAAACCGGTTCAACGGTAGTGCTGTGTGTCGTGTGTGTATCATATAATTTATAGTAGCATAATATGTATATAAGCCGATTAATAAAAACGTTAGCCTAGGGATTATTTGGAGCCGATTTCCAGGTTAAAATTCATGAGACTTAATAATAAATAGCAAATCTTATAAAAATAATTATCACCTAGTGACTTTTTGGATCATCAGGTACCTATACTTATGTC